TCTAATTTATAAGTATGTCCGGAGAAATAAATAACAGAAATAAGTAATTTCATTCCAATAATTTTTTTAATTCGTGCATCGCACGGGCCTAATCTAGTTAGGAAATATATTGAAGGATTTATGGCTCTGCAAGTTTAGCCTATTCTTTCCAACGCGAATTCAATACTCTTTAACTCTATTCCTTTATTTTTTTCATGGTTAGTTTTCTTAATATATATTTCCTCCGTTGTTTTAATATTGCACCACTTGCCTTCTAATGAAATATCACAAATATTGCACCAGTTCTATTTTAGGAAAATAATTATTTGTGTTCACACCACAAATACCAAATATACCCTTACTTTTCAACACTTGATTTTTTTAGTTTAGGTCCCATAGGCAACCTTGTATTTTTACTTTTCGCTCTCATCCTTTTTTCCACTACCAAAAAGTTTGTGCCTAACCCTTATGGTCCAATAAAAAAAAGAACGGAGGAATTTTATTTGTTCAAAGTTATAATTTTATATTAAAATATTATTTTTAAAGAGTTCTATAGTCCATGCACATTAGATTTGGGTTTATGTCTAAAGATGTTGTGATAACCTTATGGTTATATTAATTACAAGATGTATTCATATTGAACTTTCAAAGTGCAAAGTGTTGATTGAGATTTGGAATCAAGGTACGTTTAGGTGGCTAGATACCTTTCAAAGTGATTAATTTTATTAACATGTTTTATGTGATTTTAATGATGTTTGAATTAAATTATTATTTATGAAACAAGTTTGAGAAATTAATGTTTTAAATATGTTTGAGAAATTGGTTTTAAAATCATGTTTTTAATGGTTCAAATTATTTATCATGTTTTAAAGGTTTCCCTACCTTTTCAAAAGTATCATTCAACTCTTATGAATAGTGTTGAGACTAATATATCCCTTAAAAAGTTTATTTACATATTTACCCTTATATTTTTGCTTTTACATTTTTTACCCTTATATTTTTGCTTTTACATTTTTAATAAGCATAGACTTGGTTTAATTGCTTGATAAAATTAGAATTTAAGTCGCTTGTGTTAATTTGTTTGCTTTTTTAAAAAAATTGTAATTGTAATGCTTGATTATGTAGGCTAGGGTGACCAACCCTTATGTATACCAAGAGGTAATTTAGGCGTTTTTGTATATACTACATATGCACCTTTAAATTTTTATAATTTCTTGCAAAAAGTTTTTGTATATCCTTCCTTTTGATTCACATGATTGTATTCTATAATTAAATATTTAACCATAACTTTTTTTTAAACTAGACTAAATCCAATTAATTTGTATAGTAAGATCTCTCAATCAACCTTGACGATATGATAAATTTAATTATATTAGTAAAAGTAATTATATAAATTTTTTTTTGTATTAGTAAAAGTAAGAGAAAATGTTGTCATGGTGAAGAATTTTTTATTTTTTTTTAATCATTGGTGGGATTAAAATATGATCATCAAAATGCTAATGAGAAAGAGGAGTGAGAAAGTGAGAAGAGAGAGAATATAGAAGTGTTTTTTTTTTTTTTACTTTTTTTTTTATCATTGTTGGAAATGCTCTTTAGTATGTGTTTAAAAGCTTACCTAACATACTTCCAAAAATAGGGCAAGCTTTTACAATTCGACCATAACAACTAAACATTTGCGCGCATAGACCCCCCTAGTGATTATAAAAGTATGTTGAATTAAATAAAAAGGTGTTTTGAATTATTTTATTATAAAGGTTGATTTTATTCAAAGGAGGAATTTCATGAGAATTATCGAATTATTTGTTGAACCTTTACAAGCATGATTAAATTAATCTCACTATGCGGATTTGATTGATAAGACTTTGGAATTTGTATGACCGAATCTTTCCTCAAGGATAGCCTTTCTACATAAATATATACTAAATTAGGGGGTGTGAACACTTAGAAGAGGAAATTGGGTTTTAATGAGGAATTGATTTTTATCAATTGAAATATTATTTGAATAATTGAATCATTGGAATTATTTAAGAATCTTGAGAATTGGTTTGAAATTATGAGCTTTGAATTATTGAATTAAATATTGGAATTTCCATGATTGGTTTTAAAAGCATGTTTGCTAATAAATTGAGTTTACTTATATTGCACTTAAATGTACTTGGCATATTTTGCTAATTCGTATTTCCTATTTGTTTTGGTTCACCTTGTTTACTATAATGGTAAGCAGTGATGAATTTTTCAGGTGGAGTCCATGAATTGAGCATATGGGAGTCCTGGAATTTGCTTCACCTAGATTAGGGAATGTTGGTTTTTGTTTTCTTTACAAGTACTCGTGACAATGATTATAATTAGTATAAATAAATGAAAAAAGTTGAGTTTTCCGCTACAAGTTTGTTATTGAGTTAAGTTTTAAAGTAGTCTTGCGTAATCACGTGGCGGTTTTACACTTAAGTCTATCCCTACGGTATAATTATACTTATTATACTAGTATTTCCGTAGAGGAAGATTTGGGGGGTGTTACACATCCCCATTTTACTTGATTCATCCCCATTTTGATAGCTTCATCCATCTTCAATGGCACACTTCATCTTTGACCTATTTCAATGGGGCACTTCATCTTCAACATCCAAACTTCATTATTCTTCCAAAACACATCTTTAATGTCATGATATGTCATCAATGTGCTTTTTGGTTTTTTTTTTTTTTTTTTTTTTTTTTTTTTTTTTTTTAAGTTTAATTTTTATATATATACTTATATTTAGTATGTATCTTAATTTTAACAATCAATTGAATAATTCTCATATGATTTTTTTTCAAAATCATTTTGATAGCTTCATACTTTGATTGATAGTTTCAACCTTCTTTAATAGCGCACTCCATCTTCAACCTTCAACCTGTATTTTTTGTCCAAAACTCATCCTTAAATTACCAAAGAATATATGAAATCAATTATATTAATGTATAATAATCATATTTATGTGTCAATTTAAATTAATTAATGAGATTGAAATCAATTTAATTATATGTATATATAATTTGGTTAAAAATATCACGTATTATCTTATGATTTCGTATTTAGTTTTTATTAGTCATATTATTTCGTGTTTAATATTTATAAGTCATATGATTTTTGAGTAATACGCCATTGTTGAATGTTAAAGTTACAATACCATTGATGAACTTGGGAGTTAGTTTATGTTGAAAAAAAGAAGAAAAAAAAAACTAAAAGACTTACGTAATTTTAGCCTTTTTGTTTGATTTAGATGGCGTTCTTTGGGGAGGGAATATATGACAAAATCTTTTTCTATATTTGATTGTTTCAATTATGTTGATAAACAATGATATAATCTAATGTAAGTATGTACAAAAATCAAATAAATGATTTTGTATGAATAAAAAATGAAACAAGACAAAAATAAATAACCAAAACTCAATTTTCGTTAATGGTGTCATTCTTTAAATCATCATTACCTTAAGGATAGTTATAAATGGCCACAATAAAATTGTGGTCATTGTATTAAATCAAATCACAACCATTCATTTTTTTTTACTAATATAAACCGGGCCAACTCTTAATTATTTGTAAAAAAAATTTAACCCAAAAAAATTAGGCACTTTCTATCAGTTTCTCTTTCGAAAAATTGGTTTTGTTAATCCCAACTTTGGGCCATTTACTATTATTAATCCTAACATTTTTTTTATTAATCCCAACTTTAGGGAGTGTTTTCTTATAATAGGCCAAATAACCTATGACCGGTTGAAAGGGTTTTTTTTATTTTAAATTCCATGTGTCTTAATGTAATTGGTTAAAAAAATTAAAAGAGAAAAACAAAAAACAAATTAGAAAAGAGAAAAAGCAATCAGCCACCCTACGCCGTTACACTCCACGACCACTCCACCTAACTCGCCTCCTATCCACTCTCCCTAAACTCACCGACCCGACCCAAGTCACGTCTGAGTCTGACTCACTCCTCTAAGAAGAACTCTCTGATCAGATCTTCTTCCTCCTTGACATCCGTGAGCCCGCGACGATATTTCTTTCCGTGACACTCCTAGCCACCTCGATGTCCTCTAAAACAACGTCATTTCCACTCAGCTCCTTGCCTCTGTCGGTGCTGGCGTATCGCTGCAAAAATCCTGTGGGTGGAACCCACATCAGGAAGCCGTGTGTCACCGGAAATTGGAAATTGCTAGGATTCTTGTTCAGCACCACCATCTTGCTGTTCTTAGAAGAATGAGGGATTTTGGGTGGGAGTTGGAGCATGGCTGACTTTGTGGTTGCAGGGAAGGGGTTGATTTGGGGGTCGGGGAAGAGGGAAGGGGAATATGGGGTGGTCGGTCAACGGTGGCAGGGGGTATCGGTATGGCGAAAGCGAGGAAGGGGTGGTTGTGGTGGATGTTCAGTGGCGTGGCTGGTGTTGGGATTATTTTTTATTTCATTTTTTGTCAATTTTTCAATTTTGTTTTTATTTTTTTTGGACTAATAAGAGCTTGACACGTGCCAAGTAACCTGTTATAATAGGTCATTGACTTTTGTTAATAAAACCAATTTTTCCTTTTTTCTGCTTTTCTACTCCATCTTGCATTGTTTGAGTTTTTTTGAAGGAAATGATGAGTAGGAATTCCCGCAAAAAGCGTTATGCGTATTCATATCTTATTAGTTTGTATACAAATTTTGGCAAGAAAAATGGTGTCTATAATACACAGAAGAAGATCAAGTTAGTATTCCATGTAAAGATAAGATCACATAAGATTTGTTTGTTAGAAGATTTATTAGAATATTGTTTTTCCCTTTGGCTGCATTGTATCCTAATTCAGACAATGTCTTGTTCCTTGATCCCTTTGGCCGACCTCTAGGCTTCTTTTGAGTGATTGGGTTTTGGATTACATTTCCTGAACCTTTTCCTCCATTGATTTCAGAAGTATTGGGCATACCTTTATTACCCCATGCAGCGACATTACAAGTCTTGGGTACAAACTTAGGAGTGCTTTCCCGTCGAGGTGGATTTGATGACCCTATTTTTTTATCCAGGCCCATTTTTAGCCATGAGTTTTGCACGAAGCTCATTAACTTCAACTTGGATCTTGATCACTGCTTGTCTGATTGCCTCAACTGTTTCGTCATCAATGGCAGATGCTTCATCACACAATGCCTCAAGGTCTGGAATTAACTTGTTGTATCGCACACATTCCTCTGTTTGATTAGGGTCATGGTATGCAACTTTGATAAGAGTGCGCTTCCTCAACACATCCTTTCGCCACCGATTTAGAACAAATTCCGATGGAATTTCTGTCACCAAGTTTTCATTCCACACTCTAATGACATGCTTACAAAGGATCCCATCCTTTTCAAACTTCCTACAGTCGCAACTAATATGTTTAGTGACAAGGTTATAAATCAGTGAGTAAAACCTCTTGGAATTAGTGATGGTTTCCTTATTTGAACCTTCTCGAACAACCCAAATGCGATCTAAAACCAAGTAATGAATTTCAACTTCACTGATAATTTTCTCCTCCTTGATCTGAACATATAGCCTCGTTGCACATTCTTTTTGAAGTTCTTGAAACTTCGCATCAGTATATATTTTTTGAAAATACCGTTTCACTTTGAATCCACTCACAAGTTGTCTAATGTACTTGGAATCCCTTGCATCAGCATCTTTCTCATTCGTAACCCTCTTCTTCATCGCTTTGTTATATTTTTCAAGAAACTCGAAGAGTTTCGTTTTATGGGTGACAAAGCCATCGAAAAAACGGTTAATTCTCTCTACCCTCTGTGTAGTTTTCATACCCGCCCCAAAGTACTCTTTCATGTAGGCCGGCACCCACATGTGCCTCTCAATAAATAGATCTTGCAGCCATTCATTGTCCTCCAACCCATACAGCTTCATTGCTTCACACCATTGAGTTTGAAATTCTTCTACAATGAATTTGTCATATATTATATTCTTCAAAGGGTTCTTGAAATCATCGTACCTGTCATTGCATTCAAACAAAACTACTAGTTCACTATTTCACAAAGCCAACAACAGAACTCAAATTCTGGACAACAGTAAAAGGTTAACTTGTATGCTAAATTAAATTAGAACAACACAAGGGTTGTTCAACAAGCCTTGCAAGATAATGAACAACAGTACTTGTAACAGCTTGTACAATGACATAAAAACCAATGACAACCACATTGTAGAATAGTAAAATTAACTTAGGCAACTGCAACAATGCCAGAAACCAATTCCTACTCTAGTTTCTCAATAAAGGTCACTTCACTGACATTACATAAATAAGCAAGCCAATTACCAATACATTTTAACTATAAATGAGCATTTAAAGTAACAAGTAAAACCAACAAATAAAACTCATAAATTACAATAAACAGGTATAACCAATAACAAACACTGAATGAAAATGTACCAAGGTACGCAATACTTACAAGGCACACTTGCCAAGTTTCTCGGGAAATTTCCGCATAATATGCCATATACACCATAAATGGCGTGTATTAGGCATCACTTCAGCTAAGGGCTTCCGCATAGAAGCTGCTTGATCGGTGAGGATGGCAATTGGAGCTTTATTACCCATACAAGATACCCATTGTTCAAAGATCCATCTATAGGTATCACAATCTTCATGAGAAATGAGGGCACACCCTAACAGAATGGACTGGCCATGGGTGATTAACCCCGACAAAATTTGCAAAGGGTAGCTCGTACTCATTTGTTAGGTATGTGGCATCGAAGCAAACTACGTCTCCAAAGTCTTCATAAGCTACCCGGCTCCTTGCATCCACCCACATGACATCTTTTAACCGACCATCATCATCCAACCTATTTGCATGGTAAAAATTCTGAATATCTGCTTGCATGTAATCAAAGTAGTCCATCATGGCTCGTGCATCTCCACCGACCATCTTGAGCCGCCTTTGCTTGTACACTTCATGCTGAAGATCCTTCACACTTGGCAAGTTTCCATTCCCAGTGCCTAAACAACCGCGAATTTGGGACACGGAGAGACCCTCCTCAAAAAAATTAATCAACCTCTTTCGTATCATTGATGTCAACTTCTTCATACGATACTCTTTAACCAAATTTTCCATACTAGGAGATAGAGTATGAGTATGCTCCAACACAAAGGTTTTCAAAATCCAGAGCCCATCAACGTTTAAACTCCCATAAACCCTAGCATTGCACTCACATTTCTTCGATTTACGTTTTCCATGTGCAAGCTCGACCTCCCCTATAACACCATTCACATTTCCAAGACTTTCCCCAACTTCCAAGTACTTTGCCCTTTTCTTTGCCTCACGCTTCACCCTCATGTTGGATGCACCCCAACATTAGCACCTCTAAGTTATTCCCCTTCTCACTTTTGTACTTGTGTATGATCCTTGCACTCTAGTAACGCCAAATCCACAATGCTCAGCATATGTTTTGTAGAACAACTCAATTTCCTCCCAAGATTTAAAAAGCATTCCAACTTTTGGAGGCGGAGCACATATAACCCCACTCCCCTTATTGGTAGAAACTGTAGTCTCTAACGTTTGGATTGTCTCCACTGGGGAGGGCATTGAGTTGGATTGCAAGTTTTGTCATTCATACACAATGTAGTTGTATTAGTTTCAACTATCTGAGCCAAGGTTATGTTCTCTAACTCAACTGCATTCACATCCTCATATTCTTCCTGCTCATTTTCATCTATACCAATCTCCATCAAGGAACCAACCTCTTTCACAGTCCCCTGAAAAGGGACTTAGGCTATCTTCTCCCAAATTAGACATCTTATCCAACACCTACTACCACAGATTTCATGCAAAGGTCACACATGCTAAACTAGTATACAACACAATGCACTACAACACACAACAATCATAATTACAACTGAATGATTTCAGAACCCACTACAGAATTTATACAAAATCAAAACAACAAATGTAAGACACGATTGAAAGGTATAGCCTCGGGGAGATAGTCATAACCAAAATCAAACACTACATATTCATGCGATTTCCCAAGTTACTATAATTATTCAAACAACAAAATATATCAAATTAACCAACAGAAGGGTGCAATTCCAAAGTAACGCACTACCAATTACTAAAAATTGGGGCCATAATTAATTAACTATGGTGAAAATAAACTAACCTTTACCGAATTCAGACAACGAAATATATCAAATTAACCAACTAAGGGTGCAATTCCACAGTTACGCACAACCAATTACAGAAAATTGGGGCCATAATTAAACAAAATCAAATCAACTATGGTGAAAATAAACTAACCTTCAGCGAAGGTCATAACCTAACAAACAGCGCAAACTGAACACACACGTACACCACTGAAGACGAAAACAACAGATTTCAACCACCATGAATGGGACGACGGGAAAACCACAGATCTACATACTAAGCGAAGTTCTTCGTTACTAGGTGAAATGCGATTATGAGCGAGAGTGAGGTAAATTGCCTAAATTTCGCAAAGTTTGCAAATTAACGCTTCTTACCTCCGTCAAATTATAGTCTAACGCCGTCTCTTAACGATAAAATGGGCCAACAATTACAACGAATATTTTAATTTAAATACGGTTACGTGGCAGCAAAAAGTTGAAGAGATAAACAAGAAGCGTTGATCCCAGAGATTAATGGGGGCTCACCCTTATCATTTTTTGGGTCATAGTGGAGTATAATATTCTCTTTTTAGATCTTAAGCTGGTATGCAGGTAAACGAGTAAACGGATTGAACTGAACAAGACCCACTTATTAAGCGGGTTGGCTTGTGTTACTTCCGGGTTACAATTTTCAACACTAACTCGACTCACTAAACTAGTTGTGTCATGTTGCGTCGACGTGTTTAACTAAACGGGTCGAAAACCTTCAACACTAACCGCCTTTTTTGGTGTTCGATTTGTGTCATATTATTGGGTCGTGTCGACCCGGTTAGTTAAATGGGTTGAAATTCCTTAACACTAACTCGCTCTTTTCATGTTCGGCTGGTGTCGTATTAGCTTTTATGGACTCAATTCAACCCCATACGGCCATACCCGAAGCCCCTATGATACCATCTTCCAAGTTATCCAAAGCACTCTCCAGAAGACTCAACTTCATTATTCGTTCATACTCCGTACTACACAGTTTATGGGAGTTTGCTCTCAAACTTTCATTGATTCATTCTTCCCTATTATCATACATTCAAATATACAGGCTAATCACTAAAATAATCTAATGCAATATTAATCACTTTCCTTTATTCTGCGCTTAATTCGGTTTGGTTTATACAGCTTCAGTTGGGGCTCAAATGATGGCAACAATCTCTGCTAACAATTTCAATTTCAGCTTCAAAATTCAGCCCCAACCCAGAAATTCCCACTTAGAAAAATCTGTAATTTTGAATCATAGAAGAAGAATCTTAAAACCACCCTTGAAAATTAATCTTTATTGTCATTTCTTCAACCCCAGAAAATGCTCTTGTCTTTCTGTTGTTTCTAAGGCCACTAGTGATGCTGATTCTGCCTCTCAACATTCAACAGTTTCTGTGAGTTTTATTCTTTATCCCTTTTAATTTTTTTCTGTTTAATTCTTTATTTATTCATGTATTCTTATTTTTTCTTACAAAATTTTGGTATTTGTGCTATAATTCTGGATAATTAGTTTTATTCATCTGTGAAATTGGAAGTTTGTGTTACATGGGGTTGGATAATAAAGCTACATATTCTTTCTGTTCTGTTTTTGAGGGTTAGTGGGTAATTTGATTAGAGAGTGATGTGCTGGGACCTATTTCTAGTGTTTTGTTCAGCTGGAGGTGGTTGGTGGTGGCTTGAAATGCTGGCGCCGTGGCGGTAGGAGAGGTATGGTGGGTTATGCTTATTGATTGTTTATTGGGGTATACCCATGCCCGTAGTTGTGGCATTGTTTTGTGTCAGGGACTAAATAGACGAGGTTGTAGGGCATTTGAGTGCCACTGTCATCAAACCGAAAATTTATATAGTTCCCAATCTTTAAGTGTCAAAGATTGTGGGGATAATAATTCACTATGGCTGTGAATGGACTTCTACCTGCTTCTTTCTTTGACGCTCAGTTTTTCCATGACCGTGGATGGATATGAGTCATATGACACCACGGCTTTTGGCTGAGATGCCGCAACCAATCACTTTCTTTGAGTTATGCTCTTCCTTATGTCTTGTACCACCTTGCTGGTCAACCTAATTGCGTCCAAGGCTTTAATTCTATGCATTAAAGTAACCAAAGAGGTTTGACCACCCACATGGCATATGAACATCATTAGTTTATTACTTAGAAACCTTCATACATATCCACTTAGCATCACTTGGGATTCCTCATTATTAGTCAAGCTGAGGCCTCTGCATTAGAAGCAGAGCTGGTTTGAAAGTGAAACGAACTTATTTGAAGCAATTGGTCTTTAGAATAAAAATATGTTTTGTCAAAGGGAACCAAGTCTTGGTAGAATGTCTCCATTTATTTCTTCTTGTTCTTAGGATGATCTGCAAATTATCTTAGGATTGGCATCCTAATAGTCAAGATCTTATACCAACCTTCAAAAGAGGTTACCATTCTTTTCACAAGCTTTCTTTTATGAGGAACAACAAGAAAATTTACAGAAAATACATTAACCTCGAGAGCTTATCTCTTCTACCAAGTAAAACATAGTATTATTCCCAACCCATTCTTTACAAATCCAACATTGTCTTTGTCATATTATCATTTTAGCTGTTCTGTAAAGAAATCTAAAGAAGGAATAATAATATTATGGAGCTGAATAAAGATTTGGCTGACATTAGCAATATGTCCCACCAAAGAGGGAGATAAATGTCACCTCGCCACTTGTTGAGCGTAATACATGTTTGGATTCATAAGTAATCGTCCAGAATTAAAAGGACCTGTTGTTGGTGAGTTTAGGTTGATAATTCTACGCTCAAAACCAAAGGTGTTAAATTGCTTCCATATTGGGTCAATTTTTTCCAGATATAATTTAATCCTTTATCGCAACATGAATGAAAATTTTAAAAAAGGCTTTGTATCATACCAGCTCTTGATTTTTTTTAATAGCGAAAATTTGAAGCTTGGGTATCAACTGGTGCCCTAAGGCTTGTTTTCTTTGCTTTATTTTTCTTATGATGTGCTACAACCATTCACTTTTGGACTTATGGTCTTATTCATGCATGTCTTGTTTAAATTAGTGATTAGTTTGCCTTAATGATGCATCCTGGAAACTGCATTTATCATACTGTGCTTTTTCACCTATAAACAAGTCTTTTACCGCTTATGTTGAATTATGTAATTGTGAAGAATTGAAGCTTGCTGAACCAACCTGGTGCACTAAGGCTTGCTTTCTTTGCTATGGTTTGCTTCTGCTGTGCTAAACAACCGTTCACTTTTGGACCCATGATCTTTTGTATGCATGTCTGGTATAAAATTTGTGATTAGTTTATTCTATAATCTGCATTTTACTGTGAGACATTTTTCAATTCCATGTGTGTTTATGTTGGAAGTTATTATATGCAGCTTGTGTAGCTAAATAAGCTGCGAGGGATGTACTGATACTGCTTCTAGAACCTTTTTTTTTTTGGTTGGGCAGTACCACTCCTGGTCCTGATATTTGGACTCTTCCCTTTATGCATATAGTTATGAGGTCATTATGTTTCATTTCATAGAAGAAGCTTCTTAATGTACCTGTTGTTGAAAGTTGACCACCTATGTTGAATGGTTTTATAGGATGTGGATGCGACATTTAGTAGCTTATCAAGTACTGATGAAAATTATGTGCCCTTGTTAGTAAGAATGCTTGGACTGGACAATGACCCCCTGGACAGAGAACAGGCAGTAATTGCACTTTGGAAATACTCTCTGGGAGGAAAGCATTGTGTTGATAAAGTAATGCAGTTTCGTGGGTGTGTAAACCTCACTGTTCATAATCTAAGATCCAAATCTACCCAAGCCTGTGAAGCAGCTGCAGGTCTTTTAAGAATGATATCTTCAGTCAATGCATACAGAGATATTGTAGCTGAAAGTGGGGCCATAGAAGAGACAACTGCTTTATTAAGAAGGCCTTCCTTGACGGCTGAGGTACACATCAACACATGCTCTTTCTCACTGTTATCATTGATGTTAAATGCTCTGCAGGGCCAATGTGTCATCATGATTCTTGTCTACAGGTTAAAGAACAAAGTATATGTATGGTGTGGAACTTGACAGCAGATGAGAAGTATAGGCTGAAGATTGCAAACTCTGCTCTTTTGCCTGTACTTGTAAAGTGTCTGGATGACCAGGACATGAAGGTAGTTGAGGCAGCTGGTGGAGTTTTAGCAAATTTGGCATTGAGCTCTCCTAATCACGGTATCATGGTCGAAGTTGATGTGATTCCTAGGCTGGTGAGACTTGTTTTCTGATCATAAGGGGTTATTTGCTTTTTTATGCTACCAACTCTATTCCCTGATTTACTGGACAGAGTTCTGACATTTATTAATTATATAGTAATGGAAGGAGATGGATTCCATGCATATTCCAGTAGTTTGAGCCATGTATGTAGTTGCTCACTTTGGTTGGATGGTTTTGGAAATGCTAGTCTCTTAGTAGATACTTTTTTTTTTTTTTTTTTTTTTTTTTTTTAATACTAATTATTTGCAGTTAGAAAAATGGGATATTCATGTATAACTTAATTCAAACTAGACCTTGATCTTACACAATATCGTTTGGAAAAAATTCTCATAACCTGCTTGGATACTGTAACAAAGTTACTTGGACAATGTAGAATGCTTTTCTTTATGCTATATCAATTTTAGTCAACAATTGTCCTGAATTTACTTAATAGTATCTTTGGATAGGAAGAGTTGGCGGGAAGGTGAAGGAAGGGAAAAAAATTATAGGTATCCATTTTCCCATTCCCTTTTTAATAAATCAAATCCCTCCACTATTGGAAAGTTTTTTAAGGAAAATGAAAGCTCACTCTTTCCCTCTCCTCAGCTCTCTTTCCTTTTTACTCTTTCTCTTCCCTTCCTTCACCTCCACAAATGCTAACCAAACTCACTCTAAATTACAATGACAACATATGCCACTATGTTGCAAAGGATATGATATTATAATAACGAGTATATTATCCTTTCTTAAAATATATTCGTCACTTAGGAAATATATTCTCAAAAAGAAGTTAGCAGCAATTCTATTATGATTACCCTATGTGAGATAAAACATACTCTTGTAAGAGTTTAAAACCATGATTTGCACTCTCTTAGTGAGTAAAATGAGCTTTAAATCCATTTATTTTCTCAAACATCTCTCTATCTTTATAAATAGATATGTAGGTTCACAACTATGAGAGGTTGACGCACCTATGGATTTAACAATGACCATCTAGGTAAAAACCCATGGATGTGTCAAGGAAGAGATTGAGGCTAAGGGACCTGACAATGTTATGCCTTATTGAGCGGTTGTGATTTTTCTACCTTGCCCATCAATGCTATCTCCTCGAAGTGGAGCTAAGCTTTGATGGAACTATGGGTGTACTATGGCGGTGACATCACTGCCATGGGTGCAACCATGTCCTAGCCCGGGACATGCCCATGAACAAGGGCTCAGATAGAGTTGTACTCCATGACTGTTGAGTATTTTATAATATATACTCTCAACTGTTCACCTTACAGCTCGAGATGTAGCTGGAGATTCATGTTTCTAAGATCCCTGTTGTTATTTGGTTAACTCTGTTCCCTTTGCCATCCCTAGATAAGGGGGTTTTTTTAACAGTGCTGTTATCGACTTATGCCAGGCCAAATTTCTAACAAATGAAATTGAAGGATCAAAAGTCATTCGAAAAGAAGCAAAAAATGCTTTGCTTGAGCTTGTTAAAGATGATTACTATAAGATTCTTGTCATGGAAGAAGGATTGGTTCCTGTTCCTTTGGTTGGTGCTGCGGCTTATTCTTCTTTCAAGCCAGCCTTGCATTCATGGCCCTCATTACCTGATGGTACTGAGTTTAGACGAAGTTCCAAAGGCCCTTCAAGATATGGCGCTTCTGAATTACTACTTGGGTTAAATGTTGAGGACAATACTGATAAAGTAGATAAGTCCAAGATGGATGCAATAGTTGGGCGAACACATCAGCAATTTTTAGCCCGTATTGGGGCTATAGAAACTGAAGATGAGAGTAACCTGGAAAAGGGAATTTCTAGTAGCTTCCACCAGACGTTGCTTCCATGGAAGGATGGAGTTGCACGTATGGTACTGATTCTTGAGCTGGAAGATGAAACAGCCATCGCAAAAGCGGCAGATGCTATTGCTGCTTCAGCAATAAATGAGCACATGCGGATCTCATTTAGGGAAGCTGGAGCTGTCCAGCGTCTAATTCACCTATTAAGTCACAGCAGTCATGCAGTGAGGTCATCTGTTCTGAGTGCATTGGATAAGCTGTCTATCAGGTACAATGTGGTTTCTATTATTTTAGTTGCATTCTTTACAAACATCTTCTTCAGATAAAGGAAAACATCAGTTGCAGCGATCTTTTAAATACAAATGTTGGATATTTTAGGTGTACCAGCAACATCAACTTGATTGCTAGAATTTAGTTTTATTCTTGTACCTGAAAACAGGCTTCACCTCTTGCATAAGCAAAGCTTACTATTTCACTGCTTGTCTAATAATTACTCCACTTGTATTTATTTGTTTGTTAATATTTACGTTTCTTTTTCTCTTTCCTCTTATAATCACTTGTTCTCCTCCCTCTCCTGTTTCTTCTTTCAAAACATCTCTTATCTTGGAATTTCTCATTGTTTTCTGTTTAATGACATAAAGTGAGTGCTTCAGTTCTACTTATACCTTACTAAATAACGTATCTCCTTCTGCAGAAGCTTCATTAAAAAGCCTGAGAAGTTGCTGAAAGCAAATTGTTAAACTTGTTTAAATGCATCAATTGAAGAAAAATAATAATTATTATTATTTATCATTTTTATTGTCATGTGTCAAAAAATTATTAATTTATAAATGTTTTTTTTAATCTAACGGAATGTTGTCTTATAGAGATGTAAATTTCTTACAAAAGTATGTTCTTGCCACATAAAGACGTATTGAGAAATTATCTGAACTTTTGCTTCATTTCCTCTGGCATTATAATCCCCCCTCCCCCAAGTCATCTCCCTCCCTTTTCTCCACCAAAAAGTTCTTATTGTAACTTTTGTTTGTTTTCGATGCTTTTATATTTTTCTTTCTTTCTTTTCTGAAATTGGTTGTTAATGATTAAGAAAAAGCATTCATTGTTACTCTTTTCTATCATTAAGATCACTTTTCTACCTAATATAGTCGACTATTGATTGTGGACCATATAACTGTCAAATGCAGCAATTCTGTTTGTGGAACAATGGAAGCAGAGGGTGTTATGCACCCTTTGATCAATGTACTTAATGAGTTGAAGACAACTGAAAGCCTAATTGAAAAGGTTGGTTTGTCTGTATATTTCTTCACTCTTTGCCCTATACAATCTGTTGACCGATGCCATAATGTAGACAGTGAGCATTCTTGCAAGGATTTGGGATCCAAATAAACAAATGAAGTTAAAGGTTAGTGGTCAAAATTCTCATAAGTCAAAAATATTGTTTTTCCCTCTTGCAATTGTATTACTTACATATTGTTCGACTGTCTCCAGTTTTATGGTGGACCTATTAATGGCTCAACAAAAATAATTGATTCAAGCAGTCAAAGTGTTACAGAATTCAGAGGAAGTGAGGTAGAAATGTAAGAATAAGTATTCTATTGACTGGTTTGATATTGCCCTATTCTTTAATTTACTATATGATTACAAAAAAATTCTTCATCATTTAGAAAAACGTTTCCTTCATCTTTTTAATCATTGATAATATCTACAATGATTAAGTATAGTGGATCTCTGTCTAGTTTATGGCATACATGGGAAATAAATAAAAGCTTTATTCTAGGATTTAAGTGCGATTGACAGAATTTCAAGAACGATATTCTTAACACCTATAAGGATCCCGTACATATAAATAACATGAATTATACAATAAGTTAGAAATACAACCTTTGATGCGTCCAAAGCTACGTTTGCTTAAAAATTAGTGCCTCAAGTGTTGCTCCTCTAGTGTTAGTCCACCCAAACACGGATCGAATCTCCATGATTGCTAGTTCGGAAGGAAGAATGAATCTTCCTTGCTTTTGGGGAGGAGGGGGCTCCGGTTTAGGGTAGAGTGAGAGAGAGATTACGTTCTTTTGTTGCTTGTTAATTATACTGTATCTCTTATTGGAAAAACTAATTCCCTAATAACTCCCAACCGGCCACTAAGCCCAATCATTTGCTGGTGTGTTTATTTCGACCTGACACTTATTGTGTGACCTAATAGGATCCAATTAGTTAGCAGTGGGCCTAATCCCATTAGTTCACAGATCATAATTGGTCTCTAGCAAGACATTATGAATTTATGACCACTGAAATAACCCAAACTTATTATCTCCGTAATGATTCTTGTTTATATTTAGTAATTGCACTAACAATCGAGGACACATTTTCTTCAATTATGCCATGAATTTGGGACCAAAATGCTTACACATTGTCATCATAACAGAAGGCATAACAGTCAAGAGACAGCAAAAGGTATAGTTTATCAAGGGAAAAGTTGAATAATCTTTGGATTTTTACGCCATTGTGAGTGTCTTAACTCTTGAGCTGAAAAGCTTTGCTTGACTCATAGTAATCCCTGGTTTCCGCATGTCCTTCCTAAAGACCCCTTTGCTAATAAAGAAAGCAGAAACAAATGGAAGCTTAACATTTAGAAGAAGAAACCTACTAGCTTCTCTATCATTATTCTTCATCATTTTGATTTTAATTTTGACATAGCCTGAGTAATCAGGAGCTTCTTTATATAAGGTATGTTGGGGCAAATTGTTAACCTTTACTCAGGATCTTTTATTATATGTGAGGCTTATAATTGTTGCCTCCTTGATGTTCATGACCTCTATCATCTTAAACTATAAAGTAAAGAATAGTGATTTTAGAATCAATCAATCAATCAAAACCTTAATCCCATAAATGAGGAGTGATTTTAGAATGCTAGATAGATATTCCGTAAATGTCATTTGAACCATTCAATATGCTCATTTGCTGTCTGTATTGTTTTTTGATCGTGAGAATGTAATAGAGTACCTTAGGGGGGAGGACATTTAGGTATTGCAATATTAATGTGATAGAAGTTGCTTGGGGAAGAGGTTAGAGAGTTAGAGGTGAGAAAGGCATAGTAGTCAGAAAATGCTATAAATTAGAACATTGCGCAGACGTGCAGTGTTTTCATTTGCTTTAGCTATTTAATTGGGAATGAAGCAAGCCACTGAAAAGCTTGAGTTTCCTAATTTTTTGTAGTTCTAGTTTATTAATACAATGTTCACCTTCTATACTCTTTAAATCTGTCCCCATATTCCAGGCTATAACAGAGGACTGATCTTTTCAATCCAAGATACAATGTATATAGAATTCATATGCTTGCAATCTGCAGATGCAAGTACGGTATCAAATTTATCTTAAGTTCCTACTTCCTAGTCATCATCTCTTAGTAAGATACTATGAATGAAACATACATACATACCTTAGGTCCCATTAATAGTCGGTTATAAGAGAAGAAGGAGGTAAATATTGATAAATTGGAATCACTTAAATAAAGGATATTTAATTTCCAACTCTTTTTAAGAAACATTAGCAGAAGCATAAAATAGTTGATTAGGGGTATTACCGCCTCACTTAGACTAGTACTTAAGTGATAAGGTTAATTTATATGACCCGTAACCAAATTTATTTCAAGACTAATTAATTATCATAATTAAGTCACAACCTAAAAAAAAAATATAATATTGTTTCAAACTAAACTTTTAATAGATATTTCAATCCCACTGCATTTTCTCTATTAAGACTTAGACGGCCTCAATGGATCGTTCTCTCACGTTGAATCACATAAACCTTAAATACAAGAAAACATATACAAGAAAGAAATAACAAATTCAGTGAAAACTGAGTAAATACTTCACATTGTAAAGAAAATTTGAAAACTTTTTCTTACCTTAGGAAATACTCCCTCCGTTTTGTAATAATCGTAACATTTTCTTTTTACGTCCGTTTCATAATAATTGCAAAATTTCCTTATTTAGTAAGGAGCCTCTACTTTTTTTTTTAATTATTTCTCTCTCCTACGAGTCCTACTAACCTCACTTACACCATTTTTTAATTATTTCTCTCTCCTACTAACAATTAAATATATTACTTTCAACTATACTTTATATTGTTAAACTCCTACTTTGGCCCCTACCCTATAATTTTCCTTAAACTATGTGTCATGCTTACTATAGCAAGTATTATGAAAGAAAGGGAGTACATTTTATTTTAGTAAAATATCTTGTACAAAGGTAACATACGCACACACATCATTTAATAGTTACGAACATTAATTTTTTTGGAGTTAAGAGAATAACATATTATAATACCATCACCAAAATGTAGATTCAAGTCTTACCACTGAGAATGGGTGTAACCACCAAAATAAGTCTTAATTCCTTAAGTGTGCACATTCTCCTATGAATGTTTTAACTCAAAGGAGTAGATTAAGCCTAGGGTTGTGCTACATAACTTAAACTTAAATTACTTCGTAGTACCATTGGTAAAATACGAAGTCAGGTGCAGTTTTTATTTTTTATTTTTTTACCTGCTATAATTTAAGACGAATGTTTCTTAAATAGGGATAGATTGTAATACCCTATATTTTAGTATTAAAAAATAAGTATTTATTAATTATTTAATGATTTGAATACTCTGTTTTATTACTATTTTGGGATATTATCTTATAAATTTTATATTTTCATATTAAAAATAAAATAAAATAAATATTAAATGAATGATATTTTTATAAGTAAATGACAAGCAATGGTAATCATAATCATTATTATCACTTAACAACTCAATCTAGGCTCACCATCTTTGTATAACAAACTAGTTACAAACTTACAACCATCAGCTTATCATCCTTAACTTCATTCCGAAAAAACTCATGAAATAGAAGCAAAAATACTCTCCCTACTACCATGAATTAGACTAAATACACTACTAAATTCATCCCTATATCATCTTCTATCTCTAAGTCAAGTTCAAATTATTCCAAACCGATCAAGATAATGCTTATCCTTCCATTTTCAAATCCAAACTTACCTTTCTTGGCATAACTTTGTGCAATTTTATCTAGAATTACCCTTATTGCTGCTCATTTCCAAGACTTTACAAACCATTCATACTTTCCACAAAGCATCGAAATACCCTACTCAAGAAACCAAATATTGCAAGTCGATTGTCGAAACAATTTCAACTCACTTTCAGCAAAGCAAAAACACTCTCAAATAGCACCAAAAATTATTGTAGCCCTTACCGCCGTTTTTACACTCGGCTTTAAAAATCTTTAAACTAACCAAAATCGAAGGTATACGGCTAACCCAAAGTCACTAATTCTCTTGCACACGCACGCATACAGTGTTTACGAAGGAAAGCAAACTTTGGTTAAGTCATATACCTTCGATTCTAATTAGTTTAAAGATATTGAAAACCAGTGTAAAAGAATGGCAAGGGCTACGAGGTGGTGTGTTTTGCAATAGTTTATGATGCTATTTGAGGGTGTTTTTGCTGTGCTAAAAATGGGTTGAAATTGTTTCGATGATCGACTTTCAACATTTGGTTTCTTGCGTGGGGTATTCCAGTGCTTTGTGGGAAGTATGAATGGTTTGTAAAGTCTTCGAAATGAGCAACAATGAGGGTATTTATTGATTGATTGCACAAGGGGTATGATAAGATAGAGAAGTTCGAATTTGAAAATGGAAAGATAAGCATTATCTTGACCGGTTGTTGGGAATACTTTGAGCTTGGATTAGAGATAGAAGATGATACATGAATGAATAGAGGAGTGTATTTAGTCTTATTCATGGTAGTAGAGAAATACTTTTGCTTTTATTTCATGAGTTCTTCCAGAATGATGTTTAGGATGATGAGCTGATGATTTTAACTAGTTTGTTATAAAAAGATGGTGAGCCTAGATTGAGTTGTTAAGTGATGATAATGATGATAAGCACCCATATCTTGTCAGTCAATTATAAAAATATCATTCGGTTAGTATTATATTTTATTTTTAATATAAAAAAATATTTTATAAGATAATAACCCAAAATAAAAATAAAATAAAGTATTCAGATCATAAAATAATTAATATATACTTATAGGGTATTACATTCATCAACTAACTGACTACCTTATTATTCAAGCCAATAATAACTGAATCATAATGTAACTACCTAAAGTGTCCCTCCCCTAATTTTGATTCTTAACATAAGACCTCATTGATCAAAGTTGACCTCAAATGGTACCCTAATATAATAATATGTGTGTCAGTGTTTGTTTGCCTATAAATGATCATGATTCCCTATTGGACTACTGAGTTAATTGCTATTGTTCTTGCTGTCAAATCCTTGCAAAGTTATATTGACACGCAGAACAATTCAGAAGCAGATTTTTTTCTTAAGTTTTTTCCAAGCTTAGGTACAGGCCATGCGTCTTTTATGGTCTTGGGGGGGGGGGGGGGGTTACACAATATTTGTTTCATTTTTTTACTAACTAAATGAGGCGCACTGATGCACGCCTAAGGTGCAGGGAAATCCCATCACTTTGGTATGCCTTGAGGCTTTTTTATGCATTGGTCAGAACTCTGAACTGATTGGCTGTGAAAGAAGTATTGTCTTGTGTAATTAACCTTCATCACTCTCTATCAAGGGAAATTCATAGTTGGTTTAATGGGTTTTCTATCTTTATCGTTTGCCTAATATTTTTTTTTAATTCAAATGTTCTCAACCAGTGGAAGTTAAACCAAATCTAGTTCCATGGAGAAGTTAAGGTGTTAGGTTTAATATTTGAATACGTTAATCTAGGAAAGGCGTAAAGTTATGTCTTAATAAAACTGAATGGTTTTGGTATGTATTTGGGATACAGAAGCATAGACTGGAAAAAGGTTCTATTGTATGTCAATATTTTATTGAGAAAGTCTTCAAATATGGAAATAACTAGAGAAACTTAGCTAGTTCATCAGTCCCATATTTATAAGTCTAAATACAAATATTCTTCTCTATATCCAAATTTCATTCTTATCAGCCATGGTACTTATTATGGATGACTATATAATAATCGATGAGGGAGTGTATGTCTGTAAGTGTGTCCTACTTTATTCATTAACGTTCTTGACTTCATGCATTTCAACATTCTAGTGGTTTAAATCTTTAGCTAGATGTTACAATTATTACAATCGTTAACATGATTTAAAAGTCTGCTAGGACAGTTACATTGGGTTGATGAGAGTATAGAGCTGCTTAATTCTGTCAAACTTTTTCTGCTGAAACAGCAATGCATGATATGGATTTGTCACTATTCAAAGACAAGATTGGGAAAATTGATTGTGATTCTTGCATCCATATGAATTGAGGATTGTCATATATTCTAGTGAGTTGGTTTGAAAGGACAATGAGACATAACTCATTCCTTGTAGAATAGGCTAGGTAGACAAGGAAACTAAGGATTTATTCAGGAGCATAGAACGGGCCTACTTAATCTACTAATTGAATAGGAATTACTTATGTACCACATTATTATGCCATCACAATTTTGATATAACTATACAAAGTGTTATGGAATGATAAAACAAGTGTATGGAGTTTAGGAATATATAAAACTGACTTTAGATTTTAAATAAACTGCCATAGTTCATTGTAATATGTATATTAAGTACATACTCCACCAAAACTATGAAAGTTTTATATTATTAAAGTATTCATTGAGATGAATTAAACAAGACCCCAAATGAGACATGACTTTTTTTTCCCCCAAATGTATTGATAAAATTTAAAGATTATCTTTCGAAATGAATAGTGACTAATTTCCTAATGGAAAGAAAAAAGAGGTGTCAAAGGGAGTAATAGATATAACTTTTGCTTCATTATTTGAATTTTGTAATATTTATATGTTTATACCTTGGAAATTATATATATGCTTGTAGGTAAGATTTGTTTAATTTATTCCTTTTTGATCAATAAAAATGTATTACTTCCGTTTATCTAAATTCCTTTAAGTATCAACAAAAATGAAGGAGAACTCAAAAGGGTAGCACAAGTTGGGGTAGGAGATAATAGGATTTACATACTTGCCATAAAAGGAATAAATTTACAGTGAGTAGAACTCATGAATTCGGAGGGAATGCCTGCTATTCTTCATAATTTACTGTGTGTATTTGCATGGGTTTGACCGTTTGAAAGCTAATTCCTATTTTTATCATGCAACACCAAAAGCCAGACTTCATAAATTTCCAAATTTAGAATTAAATCTAATAGCAAATTAGGAACTCTGGATGATTTAAATGGACAGAATCGAACTCTCCCTTGGAATCTTTATAACTTTCTAACATACATGTGTATATGCATGGTTGCCTGGTGGGTATAGGTCACAGTTGTGGTCATGGTGTCAGAGAAGCATGTCTTGAGTGTAACTTCACGCTTCACAGCCTTCATAAAGTGAATTTTACAATTTTACAAAATTCCACTTCTTTCTTGTTGAGAGTTTTGATATATGTTTATATCTCATACTATACTCATAAATTACAAGGTACTTCTTTCTTGTAGTGTTTTTTTTTGTTCCATGACCATTTCTGTAATTGCAAACATGTAATTTATGAGTTAGATTAGTATACTAAGGCTATGCAACACTAACCTTCCCTTTAGCTCGAATTTTGTGCAAATTGCGTCCTTATGTTGTTTATCCGTTAAAATTTGGAACTTTTTTACAGGGAAAGTATGCTAGACTCTACGCTAGCTGCTCGTCTTGTTGATATTTTGAAGATTGAATCCCCAAGTTTACAAACAAAAGTTGCATCTATCCTTGAATACTGGAGTATGATTGAACAATGCGTGGACGTCATCCTTGCAACAGAAATTGAGTCTGCTTTGATAAATTTCTTCACACAAAAAGTTCCAAGGGGTATGGGAAGCAACTTTTCTTTGTATTAGGAACCTACTCCCTCCATCACACAGAGTATGTCCACCTCATATTTATGGTTCATGGTATCATGAGATATGGGTGGACAGTCTCCCTGGAACAGAGGGAATACTACTTTTGCTTTATATTGTCTCTTATATAGGCCTTCTTTCAATTATCTGCTTGTTACCTGGTTCCTTGGCCTATGGCCTTCTTGAGAATGAACGGCTTCATAATTATCTATGCCTCTTAGTTCTGTGTGGAAATTCATTTTCCAACAGTTACCTCTTATGATCTCTCTCAATCTCTCTTGCTAAGATATCAAGAGGTAATGTGGATTACAATGGATTTTCGGAGGCATGGGAGCAGCCTCTTACCAAAATTCCATATCTTTTGTGCCTTTATACTTTTCATAACACTTCAATTTTGGACGAAATCAGTTTAGTCAGTGAAAAACAAATCAAGTGAAGATAACAGATGCTTAAGTCAGAAATATGATTGAATTTTTTAATGTTAATTATATATATCCTAGGATGGATGGTTTTGTTCATATTATGAGATACATTTTATCAGCCCTCGTATAAATAGATAAATGATTAAACAGTCAATTGATAGCTCCTCTGGCTCACTCTGCATGCTTTTAAAGCTGTAAAATTTGCTGTGTAATGCACAAACTTCAAATCCGTGTTAATAATCTCTGATAATTACAGAGGATGTCAGCTCTGTCATTTACTCTTCCTCAACCCTCGACTGAGAAAAGATAAAAGGAAAAAAAAAATTCCTTTGACCCCTACAAATAATGTTTCATCTTTAAGTTTGCTAAGTCTTTGTTTGACTCTGCCTCCTGTTTTTAATTTCTGCCAGATATGGAAACTTTCGCTGAGTATGAGGAGCCTGATGTGGCTTATGTTGAAGATGTTGGGCTTGCTGTCTCACAAGCTTCAAGATTGCTTACGAAGTTGCTTAATTATCAGCAATTCCGACAGACTGTCGACTTGAATCATTTCATAAAATTGCTTCGGCAGATTCTTAAGTCCGATATCCCTCTTGATTACAAAGAATGGGTTGCAGCCTGCCTAGTTAGGCTCAGCTTCTTTTCAAGTCCATTTGAGAATCCCATTACCACCGAAGTTACTCTTTATGAGACCATTCCACGGCTAGTCGAGCAAATAAAAACTGCCTTCTCAGCTGATGCTCAAGAGGCTGCTGCGGTAGAACTTAACAGGATAGTTTCTGAAGGTGTGGTAGATGCAACGCGAGCTGTTGCTGCTCATGGGGGTATATTCCATTTAGTGAAGTTGTTAGAGCAAGGCAGCGAGCGGGCTGTTGAAGCTGGATTGGCCGTTCTATACAATCTGAGTATGGACAGTGAGAATCATTCAGCAATATTAGCTGCTGGAGCAGTGCCAATACTAAGGAGAATTATCCTTTCACAAAATCCTCAGTGGACTCGAGCGCTTCATCTGTTAAGGAACTTGCCTGTGTGATTTAAACTATAATAAGTATCATGATTGAATATATAACTCAGTAAATTTTTGGAAAACAAGCTACTTATGCATGCACTTGTAAAGGTGACTCTGTTACCTCCTACATCTGCGTCGTTTTGGTAAGACTGTTTTGTCCTGCTTTGAAGCTTCCATGGGGGTAATTTTTTAGACTTAAAATGTTAATATCCTTCGCTGTAATGTACGAGAGTTAGATCGAAGGGCTATTCCAAGATATGTACTCAGGTTGACTGATTTTTCGTTAAAATTGCTGAGCTAATTTTAAGAGGAATTCTCGTTTAACCACTGTCTATATTATGGATTTTGATTTTTTCGGTTCATGGTGAAACTTTGATGTCCGTCTGTGGAGATCGTCTGAAAATTTTGGGTATCAACATAGAGGTTGGATGAGCCTTGCTATGCTTCAAAATGTTGGTTCCTTTGATGCCAATTATGTTTAATTATCAATGATACCCCCTAGGTTTTGACTTTTATCAATGATACACATCATTAAACTTTCATCATCACCGGTACACCTAAATTTTTCCCTAAATGCCTACAGTAACCTTACCGTTAACTAAACGTTAATGAAGCTCTGTTGTCAGCGTTTTAAAGGTTAGGAGGCTAACAATACTGCATTGCCCCTCTAATTTAATTTCCCTCCAAATTTCCCTTCCATTTTTCCCTCCTTTTTTGTGAAATATCCCCTACTTATACACCTTCCCTTCCTGTTTGCACTCCCCCTTTCCATTCACGCTCTTCTTTTCTTTTTGCTTTCATTTTTTTTTTCTCAGGAAAATCAATGGCTTCATCTGGCAGGGCTTCATCTTCAAGCAATAGAAATGGAAGAGGTGATTGGTTTAAAGTCATGAATTGCAACTGCCAACCTCCAAGATTTGCAGACATTAGGTTTTCTAACTCTACAGCCAATCCTGGAAGGCCTTATTATAAATGCAGGTTATGTGAATTCTTCATGTGGGTGACTGAAGATCAAATTGTAAGGGACATAGGAGGGAGGCAAGGTTCCATGGCTGAAGCAGCATCTGTACAAGCATTAAGGGTAGAATTTGCAGAGTTTATGCACAAGACGGATGAATTTGCTGATTTTGTGTATTTGGTTGTGAAATTGGATGTGGTGATGTATTTGGTGTTGTTGATTGTTGTTTTGAAATAGTTGCCTTTAAGTTGTTGGTTTGAAATAGATGAACTAAGTTGTAGTTGGTGTTTTACTTTGAAATAAATGAAAGTGGTGTATTTTGGTATAATCTTGCAAGTTCTTCACTTAATTGTACTTTTTTTAAGAGCAAAAATAATAGCAATTAAGTATTGAAACTTATTTCATACAAAAACTCATATATATCAATCTAGCAATTAAGTAATGTTGCATTACCATACAAAAAGTCATAGCAAGTACTGCTGCCAATTTAGTACTAAGTTCAACAATGAAATAAAACAAGTTCAATAGTACTTAAAGCTTATAAAACCTGTTCAAAAACCTACATAAGTTTGTTAAAAGTAAATCAAAACCTACAGAGCTACTCATGCAGCTATGATATCAGATGTCAAGGTTGAGATTGTGACAAGTCTTGTGGTTGGCTTGCCAATTGTGATGATGAGAGCTCTGTTGCAGATGCTGCAGCTTTGGACTGCACTTTAGTTTGCCTTGCAGCATTTGATTGATCCCTCACTCTTGGGTTTTTAACAACCATGGCCTGAACTGACTTAAGTTCCTTTCCAGTCAAACCCCCTTTGCAAGTTCTAGCATTGTGCCCTAAATTCCCACAGTTGCTGCATTTAATTGTTCTAGACCTCTTCCCTGGTTGGTCTTCACCCTCTTCTCTCTTCCTGTTTCTACTTGGCCTACCAACACCTCTTTTCATCTTTGGGGGATGAATGTGAGGGGGGTGGTTAGCATCAACAGGTGGCCACTGACTTGAATCAGGAACAGGGTTTATAACATAGTTATAAACTTGCTTATAGGTTCTTGCAATATACCAGGAGCTTACATAATTGTGAAGATCAACCTTAGCATGGAGCATTCCCCTCACTGCATGTCTGCAGGGGATACCAGAGAGTTGCCAAGCTCCACATGAGCAAATTTTGGTGTTGAGACTTAGAGGAAACTAGGACTTCCCCTCATGTATCTCATACTCTCCTGGACTTGACTGAAAAGCTCTGCAGGTGGAGGTTGCTTTGTTGATTTCCCTGACCAGCTTTGCAATATTGGGGCATAAATCATTATCCTTCCAACTTTGTGCTCTCTCACTCCTTGAAGACTTCCTGACCATACAGACTCTTCTAATACCTTCCAATTATGCCAATTACTATTATTAGAACACAAAATCAATTGATCTTTTATGAGAAGTAATAATGAGCCAAATGTAGAAGTATTACCTTTAAGCAGGGTTAAGACAGGTCTGCACCTGTCAACACCTGGTGTGGAGTTAAAACTCTCAACAAAATTAGAGGTGTTTGAGTCATTGCACACATTTGGATCGAACTTATGTTTGCTCCATTTTGACTGATCTCCTAAATCAGCAAACCAAGTCATAACATCATCTCCTCCTTCCTTTTGCAACTTTTCCATTGCTTTTCTGAAGGTGAACTGATTTGTTGCATTGTATGCCCTCCAGAACAAAGTATACATCGAAGGACCTGGGAATTCTTTTTTGTAATTCCTGCTCAAATGTCTGCAGCAATACCTCCTTTTTACATAAGGCCATACTTGTGTCAGAGCAAGATCAACTCCCTGTTGGTGCAAGCCACAAAATACTCTCGGTTTATTACTAAAAAGTTATGTACAGAAAAGCTAAATTCAACAGGTAAGAAATGTATACCTTTTATCTGTGAGATATAATTGTCCAATGTTGTCTGCTTGATTGCTTGACTATGTTGTGAAGATGCCAGAAGAAATATCCCCAACTTTCTTTGTCTTCAGCTCTCACTATCGCATATGTTATTGGATAAATCTCATTGTTGCCATCTAATGCAACTGCAGACAATAGAATACCACCATAGTTGCCCTTCAAATGTGCCCCATCAACCCCAATCAAAGGCCTGCAACCTCCTAGAAAACCCTTCCATTGTCCAGCAAAACTTATGAAAATACTTGAGAACAGATTGACCCTAGGAATGCTTTTACTCAGTTCCCAAGCTACAAATTCCTTTGACTCAAGATTAGTGAAGCATATCATGTCAGCATGCCTTGGCATAAGAGAGTAAGACTCATCATGACCACCAAATAGTTTTTCAATGACATACCTCTTCAGCCTGTACAGTGAAGCTTGTTTCATATATATTCCAAACCTCTAAAATAGGAGTTCATTCAATGCTTTGCCTGGAATGTCAGGATCAGCCCTAATATCTTCCATCACCTTAGGAGCAGCCCACTTCACAGTACAGATAGGGTTGTAGGTTTCCAAACCCCTACAGTTATGAACATCTGGCCATATTTTCTTTATTGCCCATGTCTTACCATCAACTAACCTACTGGCATGTAATCTCCACTCACAACACTGTGCATAACATGTCACAGTGTATCTCTTGTTGTCTGCAGCAATAACATGTAAAGCAAAACCTTCCTGCACTGCATATCTTTCAAAGTTTCCCTTAAATGAGCCTTGTCTATGAAAATCATCCAGGATCTAAGTACAATCTTCCCAAATTTCACCTCTTCATACATTTCACCAGGCCCATACAACTGCTGAAAGTAGTCATCATCATCATCATCATCTATAAAACCAAACCAAAAACCCTTCTCCCAATTGTCTTTTATGTGGGGAACCTCTCCTATCTCAAACAACTCATCTTCTGGTACATCACTATCATTTTCTCAACCTCATTTGGCTTAGAACTGACTCTGACCTTAGCACCAGTCCAAATGCCCTTCCTAATTTGTGTACTCTTAGGAATTTTTCTAGAAAGAAGCAAGGGGTTAGTGGTTGGATTTGGACCTCTGGTGTTTGGACTAGATGAAAAAATGTCAGTGGGTTGCTTGGTAGTAGTTTGTGCTGGTGAAAACCTAGGGCTTCTTCTAAAAGCTAGTGTCTTAAAAACAGTGTGTGGTGACATGGGAGATGGGGGTAACTTCTCACCACCAGAACATATGGGTTTTGCCTTACCCTTGCCCTTTGTTGTACCACCAAAAGAACCAGCTACTTCCTTACCCTTACCCTTACCCTTACCCTTACCTTGACCTTTACCCTTACCCTTAACCTTCTCCATGTACTTCTCAAAATCCTTCCTACCCTTAGTGTAATCTTTTGCAGACTGGTTAGCACTATTCAGTTCAAACTCCTCATGTACATCAGTGAAGGTAGCATCTGGGTCATAGTTTAAAATCCTACTGGCAAGCTCTTCTAATGAGGGGTTAACAGAAGATTCAGGAGTTGTTGCTTGAGGAGTTGATTGGTATGTCAGTCTCAATCTCCTCCTAGGTTGTAGCTTGCTCCTTCCATAATTAGAAGGGTGTGGAAGTGGAGTAACAGGGTTTGCATCATCAGCAGAAGGGTTTGAAGCTTGGTCAGAAGGATTGGCAGCTTGGTTATTAAGAGGTGGTGGTACATTTTCAAGTGGTGGTTGATTAAGAGGAGGTGGTACATTTTCAGGTGGTGGTTGATTAAGAGGAGGTGGTTCATGTAAAGCTTGGTTAGCTTGTTCAACAGCTATTTTTTCCCCCTAAACTCAGACACTAAATCATTCATGAAAGTTGAATTTTCAGCAGTCCCAACCAAAATCTCATAAATATCAGCATCAGGGAAGGTCCTAAACATCCTAATTATCCCACCATCATCATCTATAGGCCAGTGTTTGCCTTTATAAGCATAAGCAAAAATAGGGTTCAATAAAACTATTCCCTTTTTTTGTAACCTATCTTCAAATTCTATCATCAAATCCATGAGGTTGCAAATATCAGGATCAACTTCAATGTCAACATTATGCACCTTATACTTAAATCTTAACACAACCTTGTCAGATTAAACTAATTTAACTTAAGCACACCAAAACATCACATACTCAAGAACAACACAAATTTAAACCTAGGTTCAACATGCAAACACAAAAACACTCACATCAAATTATATAATTAAAAATACAAAATTTAACACGCAAACATGATCATATGGAAATCGAGAATAATTCAGAGCAAAATCCAACAAATTGTACAAGTATACATACATAACCAACAAATTACACAAGTATACATACATTAACTTAAACCTAACAATTAAAACCAAAAAATCCAAAATTCCAGAGAGAAATAAGCACTAACCTTTTAAAATCCACAAAGTATCGCTAAATCTCCAACGATTTTGCTTCAATCCAGCGTCAATTAGGGTTTTACAGAAAGAAGAACAGGGGAGAGAGTGAAGAAGATGAATGATCAATTTTTTTGTATTTAATGCTGTTGGTTGGGCTTGGAGGGAGAGTTAATGAGTGGGGGGGCATTTTAGTCAATTGAAGTCAGACCAAAAACGAGCCTCATTTACGTTTAGTTAACGGTAAGGTTACTGTAGGTATTTAGGGAAAAGTTTAGGTGTACCGGTGATAATGAAAGTTTAATGATGTGTATCATTGATAAAAGTCAAAACCTGGGGGGTATCATTGATAATTTCCCTTATTATTATGCTGAGGAGCCAAATGAAAATGCCAAAAGATTAATGTGTAGACTTTTTATTTATTTATTTTTTATTTTTTTGCATAGTAAAAGTAATTGATTAATACATTGTCATATGATATCTACAAAAGAGATAATTTCTTCCTAAAAACTACGATCGTTGAGTAGATCTTACACCGTGGAGCATCTCCTATTTATATTGTTGAAAAACACAACCTTGTTGGATTTGTAGTTGTGATGATAGTTTTCCTTCTAATTGTATCCGAAAACTTGATGATCTTAATGATTTCGCATAAATTTTCACCAATAAATTAATTTCACAACAATTTATTAGATCTACAATCATGGATTTAAACTAGTGGATTGCTAAACATCGCCCGCAAATCTCCACATAAAGCCCACAAATCTATATTGAATTTACCTTATTGCCCTAAACCTAAAATAAAAAAATCTAACCCATACCCACACTCTAATCACCCGAAAATACGGCAATGTTGAGGCGGCAAGGCAAGGACTTGGCGGCCACAGCGGCGGAGGGAAGGACGGCTCACGGTGGCAGGGTTTTTTTTTAAAAAATTTTTTTTTAAAAAAAACCAGAAGAGGTGGGGCGCCTGGCCAGGACGCCCAGCCCCTGGTGGTGGCGTCTGCTCCGGCCGCCGGAACCAGGGGGCTGGCGTCTGACCTGGAAGCCTAGCCACGGTTGTGGCGTTTTCTAGAGGCGCCACCGCCGTGGCTGGGCGTCCAGGTCAGACGCCAGCCCCCTGGTCCCGGCGGCCGGAGCAGACGCCACCACCAGGGGTTGGGCGTCCTGGCCAAGCGCCCTACCACTTTTTTTTTTTTTTTTTTTGTCTAATATTTTTTTTTTTTGGAAAATCAGAATTCTTTTGTTAATGTTTAATATTTTTGTTTTATGTGTTAATGTTTTTATTTCTAATGTATATATTTTTTTTTAAATCAGAATTTTTTGTGTTAATGTTTAATTAAAAAAAACAAAAACTTTAAATAAAATTTAAAAAAAATTACAAAAAGTTTAATTAAAATTACAAAAAAAAAGAAAAAAAATAAATAAAAAAATAACAAATTACAAAAAAAAAAAAATTACAAAAAGTAGGGGTGGCGTCTGGCCAGGACGCCACAGCCATGGTGGCGGCGTCTGGCCAGGACGCCACAGCCATGGTGGCGGCGTCTGGCCAGGACGCCACAGCCATGGTGGCGGCGTCTGGCCAGGACGCCACAGCCATGGTGGCGGCGTCCTGACCAGACGCCACCCCTACTTTTCGTAATTTTTCCCCCGGATTATCTCGCTTTCCGGCGACGATGACGGCTTTTCGGTGTCCCTCGGCGATCCACTCCAGCTCCACATTCTTCGTGAGAGTGAATTACGGTTTCGGTAAAAATTAGAAAAAGGGCAAAAGAGTCAAAGTAAAAATATTTGTGGGCTTTATGTGGAGATTTGCGGGCGACGTTTAACAAATCCCTTAAACTAAGAATTTTCTCCCTCGAAAAGAGGAGATAAACCTTGTCTTTTGAAGGAGGTTGAAAAATCATTGTCTTTTGAAAGAGATTGAAAATCCTTTCTTTTGATGGAGAAAAAGGAGGAAGGATTATTAAAAACCTAAAAGAACAAAATGACTACCATAACGTGCATACAAGGCCTGTTTTATTGGATGAATTTTATGACATGGCATTTCTTTTTGATTTATTTTTAATCTTAAAATTAATTGAAATAGTTTTTCTAATTATTTTGAATTCAGGCATTGATTCGATAAAATTAGAGAAGTGATTAGTATGTTAAATACGCATATCTAAAACTCCAATATGGATAATGGATTATTATGCATAGAAGAGAGAATGGAAGAGAATTGCATGTTTTAATCCGTAAAACATTAGACTAATTTTCGTGACCTGTTTGTGTATAAGACATTAACTTGTATATGTTTTGGTTATTATCGAATATATGAAGTTTTTTGTTTTCTTGCCTATGGACATATGTAATTTTGGACATTGCCAAAATTTCAACCTACTATGTGATGGATTGTGTTGTGTTTCTATTGTATTAAATCATTTAATCAATAACATGTTTTATCGAAACCATTAACAATCAATAACTTGTCCAATCTAAATCCAACCTGAAACCTGAAATCGAACCATTTGCCCAAATTGACACCCCTATTAAAAATAATGACTTATGATATGTCCAATGTATGGAATGTAATGCTACTCTCTCCCTAAATGAAGCCCGTGCGATTGTACGGTTTGTTTGTATTTCTTTTAATAAAATACTTTACTAAATATATATTTATCTAATAAACTTTGTGACATTCGCTTGCATACTACTTGAATTTTTTTTATTATAAAATGAATTATTAAATTTGTTTCTCATATTTAGTTAAAATTCTTAATATAAAAAAATAATATTTTATTTCACAAAGTTTCATATGTGGCTGGTCACACTGTGTGGTCGGGATTACTAGGTCAGGAATTCATTGGTTGGTTAAGGGTTACTCAATCGACCAGGGGTTACTCGGACGATCAGGGGTTACTCGGTCAGTGTTTGGGTGTGTCTCAGCCGACCACGCGATATGGCCAGCCATACAAAAAACACTCTGATTTTATTTTTATAATTAATTTAAAATTATGATCTAAAATAAATTGCAATTCTTTTTTTTTTTTCATTGGCTAAAATATAACTTTTTCCTATGTGACGCTCTAAAATTAATCTTACGTGGCATAATCCTATTGTAGCTTTTTAAAATTATTAATCCTACGTGACGCTTTTATATTATAATCCTACATAGCGCTTTAAAAAAACTAATCTTACGTGGCATTATTCAATTGTAGCGTTTAAAAAATATTAATCCTAAGTGGCGCTCTAATAAATTTTTAAAAATTAAAATCCTACGTTGCGCTCTAAAAACTCGGGAAAAAATTCCCCTTCATATATATGCCACAAAAAAACGTGCTGATTTTATCTTTAAATTAATATAAAAATTTTGATCTAAAATAAATTGCAATTCTTTTTTTTTCATTGGCTAAAATATAACATTTTCCTATGTGACGCTCTAAAATTAATCATACGTGGCATAATCCTATTGTAGCGTTTTAAAATTATTAATCCTACGTGGCGCTTTTTTATTATAATCCCACGTAGCGCTTTAAAAAACTAATCTTACGTGGCATAATCCGATTGTAGCGTTTTAAAAATATTAATCCTAAGTGGCTCTCTAATAATTTTTTAAAATTAAAATCCTACATGGCGCTCTAAAAACTCGGGAAAAAATTCCCCTTTTTATATATATATACTAGTTTTGTTCCCGGGCAATGCCCGCATTGTTGATAAAATTTTAGGATAAACTTTTTAGTTTGAATGTTAAATACAGTCATATAAACCCTTTTGATAATGCAGAATATTTAGACATAGATATCACATCGCTTATATAAATAATAGTTTACCTTTTGTAGTTTTATATGTAAATAGATATCTATTTATTATTAACTTGAAATTATTTGTATTTTTATCGAACAAAAATTATTTTTACTGATTCTCTATTATATAAATTAAATATATTATAAACAGATCTTATTTTAAAGAACTTTTTTCAATGATGGAAATATAACCAAGTTATAGGATATTTATTTAAAGTTATGATTAATTTTGTAAATATGAAATATTAGAAGTATATCAATAATAAAACTCTATACAACATGTTTACTTTAAAAAAATTATCCAAAATTCTGCTTACTTAGCATCATATGTGCTACAATAATACATATTTGCTGTCTACGTGGCACGACAGTTGGCGAAAAACAGGAATGTCAAGTGTCGATGTCACGTGGCCTAGCTGCAAGATCTGGAAAAAAAATTATTGAAACGTTTTTTAAGTGAAAAACCTGTAAAGTTCTAAGTCCTTGCTAACATTGATCTGAATCAACTTCAAGATTCCCTTGTATTGTACAGATTATGTTGTGTCCTAATTTTAGTTGTTTTTTACTTCTTTAGTTTCATTAATAAAATCACAAACATACACAAAAATATTACAACCAAATATGAAGAATGGCTGATTCAAAAGCTTTGATGATAAATCAATGGTAGACTAAAAAAAAATTAATGATACATGGCCATTTTTATAATTATACTACGTGGTTATTCGTATAGGAGTTAAATTCTATTTTTAATTGGACATTAATTATAATATGTGGTGTGTTGCTATAAGTAAAATTTTATTGTCAATAAAAAGATAATTTTTTTTTCAAAAGAATTATAAATTATTTTATGTGTATGTACTTTTTTATCCTAAACAACTCTATCTAATCTAATCTAATCTAACGTGGCATCTAATCTAATCACAATAATATCTATTTGTCGCTTACGTGGCTCGACACTAGGCGAAAATCTAGAATGCCAATTGTCGCTGTCTCGTGACCTGGCTGCGTAACCGACTTTATTTATTAGTGATACGATATATTAGATTCTTGTTATATACATATTTGGGAAATGTCATTGTAACACCCCAATAATTCTCTCTTTAAAACCTGTAATAACCTATAATAACCTGTAATCACCTGTAAATACTTTTAATAACTTGTGAGAGAATTACTGGCGTGTTACCGCCACGTGTTCAAACGTTAAGGCTAGTTTTATAGATCGGCAGCGGAAAACTAACTTAGCTTTAAAAAAAACATAAGTTTCAAAACTAGAAGTCAAAACTCAATTTAGTCTTACAAGTTGGAACCTTAACGGCCCTTATTCAAAATCCAGTAAAATAGGAAGTAAATGGAATTAGAACCAAAATAAAATTCAATCTATGATATGAAATAGGCTAAGTGATTAACCAACGCTCCACTCAAATCCCATCACCCTGATGCAAGTCAGTTTATGCAAAAACCTGTGATAAATCTACTCCCCAATATTACAATTGTAAGAATTGGATCATTACAGGGTCATTGAAGGCGAAGGCCATGACCAAGAGAAACACACAAAAGCACGCAATCAGCAACGCTGAGTACATACAAGCTACGAAATACAGTAAAGAGTCTTAGCATGATACTATCAAGCATTCCATACACTCACAATATAAACATTGACTCGAACACATGATTTAATTGTTACTTATTACTAAATTTTCTCTAGATAGCATTGATTACTTCATTAATTTGATTGGATTAAGCAATAGACCAGGTTGTCCCCCTATGCTCCATTCCGGAACATTAATAACGAAAACCCTATACCTCCTTTCGGAAGACATTAATAAACATCCAATGGCAGACGGGCGCGACTCCATGGCCATAGCTAGTATGAGATCTCATCTAACTCATTATAATTTTAAAAGAATTTAATACAAGAGACTCGTAGATCAGACGGCCTCTGAAAAGTGCACGGCTAATACCCCGTGAACCCCAACCCCTGTTTGTTATTACTCTAGATGTGCACAAATCCAGAGTTTTATTGCTCATCCTTCTTGCACTTTACGTGATTTACCAGTTTAAATTTGGTGATGACTCATATGCAAACAACATAACCAATCATAAATCAATTATTCAAATCATTCAAGTCTCCAATTAAATTCTTAATTTATCGGTGACAAACAACATTCATTATTGAATCATTTAACTACCTCGGTGTTTAAACACCTTAAATGCATAAGGTGCCTCATATCCACAATCTTATCTTATAAGACTTTAACTCTTCCTTTACTCATTCCATTTCAATACAAATGAATAAGTAATTAAAATGATTCATTCCATATGTATACTTGTAGCTTTACTTCTAAGCTCTCCTTGCAAAGTATTGCATAAATAATACTCATAAGAAAAAAATCAATGCAATCTCTCATACATGAATTAAAGCAATCATCACATTGATCATCAACCAACTCATTACCAAACAATTTCAACCAATCCACAAGTTTCCTAGCATGATTCTAAGTCTTTTCCAAGTCCTTAAACATGCTTCTAAAGTCAAGGTTCTTCGTATACTTGTACGTACCTTGAGTACACAAATTGGTTGGCCACTTTAAGGCTAGAAGTCACCTTCTATGAAGTCCTCTCCTAAACAAAACAACAATAGCTCAATTAATACCCAAGCAAACTATTTTACAGCAATACTAAACTATTTTAAAAATCCTTTAAATCATTGAAATAATGCTCTTAAATTATTGCCAATAGCCAAAGTTAATAATTTAGTACTTGAACTATGAGTTTATATGCTAAAATCATATAAGTATAGCTTATAGCATAAAAATTCAGCACTTTAAAGTAAAATTATAAATCTGAAAATTTAGTTTAAAGTTATAAAACAACCGCATAAACATTTTCATTTGAAATAATCGTTATATAGCACGTTAGTATGTTGAGAACTTGAAAATCCATCATAAAACCATGATTTAAAGCTATTTAAAGTTGGGGTTAAAATCTGAAATTTTAGTTTAGTAGTGGAATATAGGGATATAAATATCTAAACTTGGAATATATAATTAGAATTCAATTATATTCATAAATACCCAATTAAACTTCCAAATTTCACAACTTAAACCCTAGCATATACATAATTTGAAATCTGAAATTTAGTTTATAATCAAGGTAATTGAATTTAAACATAATTTTATACATACTATAATTAAATAATTTAATCTTCCTGCTTTGAGCCCAAATATTCAGCTTTCTTAAAAATCTGAAAATTATTATACTCATCAAAAATTAAAGTTAGGATCATAATTAAGCACAAGGTAAGTAATTAAGTCAATCATTCACGTTTTACGCCCAAAATCATGAAAAATCAACGTTTAAACCCAAAATCAGCTTTTCTGAAAATCTGAAAATTACATATAATCATCGAAAATGAAAGGTAGAACCATGTTTAAATACAAGGTAATTAGTTAAATCAATTATTCATGGTTTAAGTCTATATTTTGCGAAAATCACGATTTTTGAACCCTAATTTCGTAGCTAATAAAATCTGAAATTAATCATGTACTTAGTATATCATAAACTCAACAATTTCGCAACATAACCCAATAAATTTGCAATATTCATCATGTATATGCATAATCAAATCAATAATTCATATAAAGATTAAATTTTTGAAGAAATTAAAACAAGAAAAGAGGAAGATAGAAGAGAAGGGAAGTGAGGGGAAACCGGCTGGTGCCCGACGGTGCTGCGGTGGTGGACTGCGACTGAGGGCAGGCGGCGGCAGCAAGCTGGGCAGTGGTGGAGCAGTAGGCTGGGCAGCGGTGGAGCAGCAGCGCAGGTGAGTTTTTTTTTTTTTTTTTTTTTTTTTTGTGTGTTTCGTGAATGAGGCAGGGAAGCAAGGGAAAGGGAGTAATAAGGAGAAGCAGTATGAGGGTTTTTGAGAGAAGTTTACTTAATTAGAAAATTGAGGGTTTGGGCTCTTTTATTTTTGTAGAATTAGAATGGTAATCATAGCCCAAAGTGAGTAAAATGCTATTGAAATATAAGTTAATGTTTTTATTTTGTGAATTCTTTCCAAAATATTTTTATATACATATAAAATTATTAAAAATAATCGTATACATAAAAATATATAATTATTATTTACTAAGAAAAATATGAGGGATTACAATCTAACCCTCATAAAAGAATTTTCGTCCCCGAAACTTAACCCAAAATCCATAATTTCTCAAAACTATTACGTTTTGTATTGCCGTAAATTACTTGTTTCTCAATCATATATACCTAACAACTGAGCTCGTGCTCGATAAACTCGTACTTAGCCAAAATTTACGTACTTTATTAGCATGCAAACACAACAATACTTGATAATAATAAGCAAGTTAATGCAATCTTAAAGCAATAAATGGCATAAATGGGGTAAAACGCGAAATCACACTACATTCTACCCCTCTTAAAAGAAAAGAGTTACGCCCCCGTAACTCACCTCATCAAATAACTCGGGGTATTTATTTCTCATCTCTTCTTCGGCCTCCCAAGTAGCCTCTTCGTACTCATGGTTAGACCAAAGGACCTTCACTATCTTCACATCCTTGTTCCTAGTACTTCGCACCTTGTGATCTAAGATTTTCACTGGTCTTTCTTCATATGTCAAAGACTCATCCACTTGGATTGTTTCTGGTTGCAACACATGGGTTTCACTAGGCACATACTTCTTCAATTGGGAAATGTAGAACACGTCATGCATTTTCTCGAACTCCATTGGCAAAGCCAACTTATAAGCCACGTTTCCCACACGTTGAAGAATCTCATATGGCCCCACATACTTAGCACTTACTTTCCCTTTATTTCCAAATAGCATCACGCCTTTTGTTGGTGAGACCTTTAGAAAGACCTTATCCCCAACATTGAACTCATCATCTCTTCTCTTCAAGTCGGCATAACTCTTTTGCTTATCTTGTGCTGCTTTAATTCTTGACTGAATCTGTAATACCCTAATTTTTTTTTTATATTTATTCAACGATTTTTTTCTAGTATACAGTTTAAATTTATAATTATTTTCAAATTTATAAAAATAAAAATAATAAATTTTTTTTTTATAATTGTTATTTTTATTTCCATTTTCGGATTTAAAAAAAAAAAAAAACAACTGATTTTGGGATAAAGTTCAGGAACTGATTATTTGAAAGCTATTTGATCTAAAATTTGAATCTTTAATCTTATCATAGTTGGTTACTTGAATCTATCCCAAACCTTAATCTCACCCAAATCCCCACATTGTAAGATTGCTGGCCGTGAGAAAGGGGGGAAACAAAACAAAAAAAAAACTATTCTTCTTCTTCCACCCTTCATCTCCATTGATTGATAGGTATGAGAGCTCAAATAACTCATAATCCCTTCTTTATTTAGATGTTTAACTAGTCAATTAAGCTTCAATTTTTCGGCTAGTAGTCTTTAATTAACACCTTTCATTGCTAAACCCGTAACTCCGTCGACGAACCCAACGTTTGACACTCAAATTGAATCTTGTTCTTGTCTCCATCTTAGACCACCATAGCTTCAGACCTTACCGTCAACACCGTTGCCGTATATCCACACTCTTCTTTAATTCGTAGTACTTGCTACCATATCAACCATAGTTGTTGAGTGTAGTAATAAACCATGTTTCTTCTATTTCCATCCATCTTAGATGATTATCAAGGAAACCTACAATATACCACCTTCTTAATCCATTGTATACAAATGTGGATTGCAATTGTCGTTGTTGTCTTCTTCTGCAAATCAATGTCGCTTACTTTGTTTTTTCTTCTTTCTTTTCTCCTAATCTCAGGTCTTCTGGTAGTGGTAGGATTTTAGTAAAGTGGTTTTTTTATAAAAAAAAATGATGATTTTTTTTTGTTTTAATAGTTAAACAAATTCATGTTTTAAGCCACTTACACCTATATTGCCTTCTATTGAAAAGTTTCGTAGTGGGCTTTGAGTTTGGGTATTATAAAAAACTAATTAATGACTAACTATTTCAATTAGTAATGTCGTAAGACTAACTTAGACTCGTTTATCTGTTTATTTGTAGACGGAGGCTACTAGGTGAGCGTTTTGGAGGTTATTTACCTTGAGATTTACGCGCAATTCAAGGTAATTTTCAATGTCCATCATCTTTAGAATCCCGTTAGGAAATTGTTTTAAGTTATTTTGGGCCAACTATGTGCTTACGTAATTATACGTGATGGATGCGTAACCGTATGATATTCTGGAATTATATTATATACTAGTTTTCTATAATTGTGTACTAGTATAATATTTTCGAAAATTTGATTATTTGGTATCGTATGAGTTTTATATAATTAAAATCTTGGGAATTGGGTGATTGATTATATGTGATTGATGGTCTCCAAGACCTATTGAGAAACGAGTTGTAACTAGTATGTCTTGTAAAATGACTCTGTTTTAAAAGTACTGAAACTAAAATATTGTTACTTGGGATTAAATTGATCTGTGCAATACTCGTGTGCAATGTGATCGAACAATTTAATCTATTAAAATGTACATTAAATTAAGAAGGGAAATGAAACCAGAAAGGGTGAAGAACAGGTTGCCCACTAGTAGTTACGGTTGCTACTAGTTGGTTTAAATTGACGTATATTGTTGTTTTGTCTTCCTCCTAATCAATGGGTATTAGTGAGGGGTGTGCACACTAGGGACATTCTGTTTAATTTATGGCCATTTGGGGTTACGCGCGACCCTCTGTAAAGTAGGTGGTGACAGGGACTAGTCCCGGCTTACTGGCGTTCTCTTTCCCTTTCTTAACTAAAGTAATAAATTTTATGTGACAATTTGATTTTGACTTATTATTATAATGTCGATAAAATTGTGTTGTGTAAAATATTTTTCGAACTAAAATTATTATTTTACGGGATGGAGTTGGAATTACTCAGTTTATCTGACTTTGGGAGTTTCTCTCTTTTCTTGTTTCTGATTTATTTTGCAGGTTGGTAAAAGGGTACTCGATTACGTGTGAGGAGACGTTAGAATAATCACGTAGCTAAGACAATTTAGTTAATTCTGAACTTAGTTATTTTCCTTTTATTTAATGTTTTAAAATGTTTTACGGTTTGGATGTAACGAATATTTAATTCTTTGTCGCCACTTAGATCACCTAGTTATAAAATGGTATTTTGTTTTTGCTTTGCACTTGTTTTCTATGGAAAATAAGTGTAGCAGTAACACTCCCAAGGCTCGATGGTCGGTTTTGAAAAGATAAGAGTTACTCTTATTGTTTACAATGACCCGAATTTTGGGAGTGTTACAAATTGGTATGCAGAGCCAAGGTTTTTTATAATTTAGGGACTAAAATGAATTAAATTAAAGACTTAGGTTTAAAACTTGTATATAAGTTTTGTAAATTGATTTAAGTTTAGGAAAGCCGTGAGTGTGGGAATCACGATAAGGGATCTATGTGTTATATAGTACTTATTTAAGTACTTATGATGTGGTTATTATTTTCTTAGACGATGGTACGAGAACGTAGAACGGCAAGAAATTCCAGTGCTAGGAAGAGTACAATGGTATTACCCGATTTTCCCTATGTGATCCGTATGAAGTATAATGAAGACATTCGACATTATGTCTACCGTTTGAATCTTTGCATTGATCACTTTCATTACTATGTACTTGAGGGCCAATCCGATTACCTCACTCCGGAGAGACTATCTCAAATTCTCTTACACACACTATGTGTGAGGGGACCCTATTCTCAACTTAAGAAGAAGTATGCTGATTTATACATTGAAGGTCAACCAAATGATAAATATTATTATAATGGAAGATGGATCCTTACTATGGAATACCTGGAGAGAGCAATGATGGAAGCTAAGCGGGAATATGACTATAACTTGGATGATGATGAGGAGGAGGAGCCTCAGGAAAATGAAGCTCGTGAGAGTTAAGGGGAAAATGATGGTTGAAAATTTTTAGTCGCATTTATCTAATACTTTTATAATACTTTTACAAATAAAGCTAGTTATTATGATTAGAAACTATAATGTAGTTTTAGTTTATTTGCAACTAGTAGTTTATCGAAATAATTAAGACTAGTTAGTGTGCTACTTTAAAGATGATTTTCATTTTGTCTTGATTTTGCAATAAAATAATTTTCGATAAACATATTTATGATATTTTATTTTATGATTATCAATTAACTTAATAAAATAGTATAATTTCATTTTTTTTTATTGCACTTGTACAAAACAAAACCCTTATTTTCTTGTGCTTACTTTAGTCAAGTATAGTAATGACAGGAATTGGATTATAGTGGAATCACAAGAGCAATAGGCGAACCTATAGTTTAATGCTAAGTTGATGCATTATTTGTTTTGGAAATTGGTCGACTCTATGAATGATATCGAGGTTTAAAAATGGCTTAACTCTTGTCTATAAGTATTAGTGATGTGTTATATGAAAGAATGTGATTGTTAATTTAATTGCAATTCACACGATCTGAATAAGTCGTGTTATAATGTGTATGGTGGTAACACCAGTGTTGAAATTGTGCAGATTGTGTATGCAAAATTACAACGTTTACACTAGGTCTCGTTCGAGAAGAACTGCACAAATGGCCGAGACTCCCGAACAACTTGCTGCAAGGTTGAGGGCTCTTGAGCAAATGAACTAGAACCTTGGAATGTTGTTGCAAAACTAGCTGAACAACAACAACAACCACAACAACAATGACAACGACCCCCAAGCTGCCATGGCTAAGAAACTTGCTGCATTGAAACCTCCATTATTTATGGGGAAGGAAGATCCCATGTTGGTTGAGAACTGGGTACGTGATTTTGACAAGATTTTTACTACTGCTGGTACCCCTGATGCTCAGAAGGTGGACCAAGCCACTTTCTATTTACGTGAGGCTGCTGATATTTGGTGGGAAAATGAAGGAGCCACCATAAGAGCTCAACAGAACTTTAATTGGGAGGCTTTTAAGAAAGCAATCAAGGATCGTTTCTTTCCTGAACATATCAGGAGACAGAACTACATCGAGTTCAGTAGGTTTAACCAAACTGCTGGTATGAGTGTGTAGGAGTATGCTGAGAAATTTAATGAGTATGCTAGGTTTTGTCCTAATGTAGTGTTTGATGAGAGATCCAAGGCTCAGAAGTTTGAAGATGGATTGACTTTTAGGATCCAAAAGAAGGTGATTGGGGCTGGTACTGCTGCTACCTATAAGGAGGCCTATGATAGAGCTTGCAATATCGAAAGGATTTTGAAGCGCGAGCAGGAGGTCAAGGATAGGCACAAGAGGAAGGGGAATGGTGAGAGCTCATCGAACCATCAAGGGTATGATAAGAGACCACGGCTCGGGGGTAATAGCAATGGGAATGGTGGAAATGGTCAGCAGGGAGGCCGTGACAACAACAATCGAAGCAATAACCACCGGGGCCAGGGACAACAGAATCGGCAAGGATCTCGCAATCGACCATGTCGTAAATGTGACAAGAGTCACCCAGGACGCAACTGTAATGGAGATTTGCTTACTTGCTTTGAATGTGGGGAGGTTGGTCACAAGAAATTTGAGTGTCCAAAGAAGCAGAATGGCAATAATCAAGCTTAGAGGCAAGGTAACAACAATGGCAACAATGGAGGTGGTTATGGGAGGAACTTAAACTACAACAACCGCTTCAATAACAACAATTCTCAAGCCCAAAATGGCAATGCTCAAGGAGGGAACGGACAAAACAACAACAATGGCGGAGGAAGCAACCACAATGGCAATGGTAGGATCGGTAATGGAAGAATTTATGTCATGAACCAGAGCGAGATTGACTCCAATGCTAACCTTGTGACGGGTACTTTTCTCGTGAACTCAAAACCTGCTTACTTACTTTTTGATTCTGGGGCATCTCATTCTTTTATAGCCACTTCTTTTGTGAATAAACATGCTTTAAAAGCATCATCTTTGTGTCAACCAACATAATAATTCCGTCTTGGGAGGTAGTTCCTTGTAAGCCCATATACCAAGGCATTCCAGTTAACATTGCTGGAACTGAGTTGCCTGCAAACCTTATTCAGTTTGACTTAACTGACTTTGACGTGATATTGGGAATGGATTGGATTAGCGAGTACAAGGCTAGAATTGAGTGTCATACCCAAAAGGTGTCTCTTAGGGGACCAAGGGGGAATAGAATCTCTTACCAGGGAGTTATGTCAAAAACAGGGATTAATATTGTGTCTGCCATGACTATTCATTCTTATATCCGAAAGGGCTACCCTATTTACTTATGTCATGTGCAAGATGTGAGTGCGGAAGAGAAGTCCATAGATCACATTCCGGTGGTGAGGGAGTTCCAAGATGTGTTTCAAGACGAAATCCCAGGGATGCCACCAATTAGGGAGATGGATTTCAAAATAGACTTAGTGCCTGGGACTGGAGCTATTTCTAAGGCACCATATAAAATGGCACCAGTAGAGATGAAAGAGCTGAAGGTACAATTAGAAGAGTTGTTGGAGAAGGGCTATATAAGGCCAAGTGTCTCACCGTGGGGAGCACCGGTTTTGTTTGTGAGGAAGAAGGATGGAACCTTAAGGTTGTGTATTGATTATCGAGAGTTGAATAATGTCACTATAAAGAACAAATATCCATTGCCCAGGATTGAGGACTTATTTGATCAGCTTAAAGGTGCGGGGATCTTTTCAAAGATTGACTTGAGGACGGGATACCATCAGTTGAGGATTGCTGAGGAAGATATACCAAAGACAACCTTTCGCACGAGATACGGACATTATGAGTTCACCGTTATGCCTTTTGGACTCACTAATGCGCCGGAAGCTTTTATGGATCTCATGAATAGAACTTTTCAGCCACATTTGGATAAGGTTGTGGTGGTGTTCATAGACGATATTTTGGTGTACTCAAGGGATAGAGAAGAGCACAAAGGAGATATAAGAAAAGTGTTGGAGATTCTTAGAGAAAAGAAGTTGTATGCCAAATTTTCAAAATGTGAATTTTGGCTAGAGAAGGTAGCATTTCTAGGCCATGTGATCTCAAAGGAAGGAGTTGAGGTGGACCCATCTAAAATCCAGGCTATTTTTTATTGGCCAAGACCGACAAGTGTGACTGAAGTAAGGAGTTTCTTAGGGCTTGCTGGATACTATAGGAGATTCGTGCAAGACTTTTCGAGGATAGCACAACCCTTAACAAATTTGATGAAGAAAACTACTAAGTTCCATTGGGATGAGAAGTGTGAGCAATCTTTCCAAGAATTGAAGCGAAGACTTACCTCAGCACCAGTCTTAACCTTACCATCAGGGACTGAAGGGTTTGAAGTGTATAGTGACGCATCTAAGAATGGCTTTGGGTGTGTACTTATGCAACATGGGAAGGTTGGGGAGCTTATGCATCGAGGCAGCTCAAGAAGCATGAACAGAATTACCCTACTCATGACCTGGAGTTGGGAGCTGTGGTATTTGCTCTTAAGATTTGGAGACATTAATTGTATGGTGTGAGATGTAAGGTGTATACGGACCATAAAAGTATGAAATACATATTCACACAGAGTCATTTGAACATGAGACAAAGGAGATGGCTTGAGGTTCTAACCGATTACAACCCAGAGATTCTATATCACGAAGGAAAGGCGAACAAGGTAGCCGATGCTTTGAGTAGGAAGACAAGTCATACAGTAAATTTGATGGTTTTAGCCAAGGAACTTTGTGAAGAATTTAGGAAAATGAACTTGGAAGTGATGGAGTATGGCCAGGTGAACGCGCAGTTGAATGCAATGTCGGTCAAACCTACCATATATGATGAGATTCGTGAGAAGCAAATGCTCGATGAGTGGTTGACCAAGGTGAGAAAGATGAAAGAAGAAGGAGCAACAACTGAGTTTGATGTTAATGATAGTGGAACAGTGAAATACAAAGGGAGATGGTGTATTCCTAAGAATGAAGATCTCAAAAGGAAGATCTTAGAAGAAGCTCACAACACCCCGTACTCTGTACACCCGGGAGGAGATAAGCTCTATAAAGATCTTAAGCAATAATTTTGGTGGGCGAACATGAAGCGTGAAGTAGCTGAGTTTGTGGCCAAGTATCTTACATGTCAGAAAGTGAAGATACAACATATGAGACCTGGAGGGAAACTGCAATCGTTAGATGTGCCAGGATGGAAGTGGGAGTCTATCTCTATGGATTTTGTGATGGGATTACCGCTTACAAGGGCAGCAAAGAATGCTATTTGGATCATAGTTGATCGTTTAACTAAGACAGCAAGATTCATAGCAATAAAGGACACTTGGAATGTGAATCAGCTGGCAGACGCCTATGTGAAGGAAATTGTGAGACTACATGGAGTTGCTAAAGTTATCATTTCAGACAAAGATCCCAGATTTTTATCAAAGTTCTGGGAAATGTTTCAGCAAGCATTTGGCACTATCTTAAAGTTTAGCACAACGTTTCACCCTGCTACGGATGGACAAACAAAGAGAACAATTCAGACCCTGGAGGACATGTTGAGAGCTTGTGTGATGGACTTTGGTGGATCGTGGGACGAAAGATTACCTACGATCGAATTTTCATATAATAATAGTCATCATGCGAGCATAGGAATGGCACCTTATGAAGCATTATATGGGAGAAAATGTAGAAGTCCCTTATGTTGGAGTGATATCAGTGAGTCTTTGACTTTGGGGCCAGAAATGATTGAAGAAACAACGAAGCAAGTTAGGCTCATACAGGCAAACATGAAGGCAGCTCAGGATCGACAAAAGTCATAAGCAGATCAAAATAGGAGAATAGTGGAATTTGAAGTCGGGGAAAAGGCTTTACTTAAGGTTTCACCTACCAAGGGAGTCATACGGTTTGGTAGAAAAGGGAAACTAAGTCCTAGATATATTGGGCCATATGAAGTATTAAAGAGAGTTGGAGAGGTGGCATACCAACTAGCCTTACCCATGGAGTTAGCCAATGTTCACAATGTTTTTCATGTTTCACAACTCCGAAAGTATGTTCATGACCCTACCCATGTTATCCAACCTGAGACTATTGAGCTAGATGAGACCTTAACCTTCGAAGAGTGCCCAGTGAAGATTCTTGATACCAAAACGAGAAATACTCGAAATAAGGCAGTAAAGATAGTTAAAGTGTTGTGGTCTAATCAGAATTCTAAAGAAGCAACTTGGGAAGCCGAGCATGATATGAAAAAGCGCTACCTAGAACTTTTTGAACAGGTACTCTAAGTTTCGAGGTCGAAACTTTTAAATGGGGGTAGAATGTAATACTAACTTAGCTTTGTCATCGTGCGAGCCTAATTTTGAGTGCTAACTTTAAAGTTCGAGGACGAACTTTCGTTTTATGGAGAGTAGATGTAATACCCCAATTTTTTTTATTATATTTAATCAACGATTTTTTCTAGTATACAGTTTAAATTTATAATTATTTTCAAATTTATAAAAAAAAAATAATAAATTTTTTTTATAATTGTTATTTTTATTTCCATTTTCGGATTTAAAAAAAAAAAAACAACTGATTTTGGTATAAAATTCAGGAACTGATTATTTGAAAGCTATTTGATCTAAAATTTGAATCTTTAATCTTATCATAGTTGGTTACTTGAATCTCACCCAAATCCCCACATTGTAAGATTGCAGGCCGTGAGAAACGGGGGAAACAAAAAAAAAAAAAAAAAAAAACTACTCTTCTTCTTCCACCCTTCATCTCCATTGATTGATAGGTATGAGAGCTCAAATAACTCATAATCCCTTCTTTATTTAGATGTTTAACTAGTCAATTAAGCTTCAATTTTTCGGCTAGTAGTCTTTAATTAACACCTTTCATTGCTAAACCCGTAACTCCGTCGACGAACCCAACGTTTGGCACTCAAATTGAATCTTGTTCTTGTCTCCATCTTAGACCACCATAGCTTTAGACCTTACCGTCAACACCGTTGCCGTATATCCACACTCTTCTTTAATTCGTAATACTTGCTACCATATCAACCATAGTTGTTGAGTGTAGTAATAAACCATGTTTCTTCTATTTCCATCCATCTTAGATGATTATCAAGGAAACCTATAATATACCACCTTCTTAATCCATTGTATACAAATGTGGATTGCAATTGTCGTTGTTGTCTTCTTCTGCAAATCAATGTCGCTTACTTTGTTTTTTTTTTCTTTCTTTTCTCCTAATCTCAGGTCTTCTGGTAGTGGTAGGATTTTAGTAAAGTGGTTTTTTTTTTATAAAAAAAAATGATGATTTTTTTTGTTTTAATAGTTAAACAAATTCATGTTTTAAGCCACTTACACCTATATTGCCTTCTATTGAAAAGTTTCGTAGTGGGCTTTGAGTTTGGGTATTATAAACAACTAATTAATGACTAACTATTTCAATTAGTAATGCCGTAAGACTAACTTAGACTCGTTTATCTGTTTGTTTGTAGACGGAGGCTACTAGGTGAGCGTTTTGGAGGTTATTTACCTTGAGATTTACGCGCAATTCAAGGTAATTTTCAATGTCCATCATCTTTAGAATCCCGTTAGGAAATTGTTTTAAGTTATTGTGTGCCAACTATGTGCTTACGTAATTATACGTGATGGATGCGTAACCGTGTGATAT